GTTATATACATTTGTTTCTAAATACAATATCTTAAAAAGAATCACATGATACAAGATTGATGCAAAAATAAATATTATCTTAAAGACTTCAAAAGATGCTTTATTTTCATTGTTCTACCTAAGTTTTTCTTCAAATATCAAACATATATGAGAAGCTCCAACTTGAAAATAATTCTTCACAAAAATCCAATAATAGTTGGCAAAATCAAAGAAACATTGCACATTTCAAATTATTTTAAAATCTTTCAATCCATGATAATATACATCTTTTTTTAATCCATCATAAGACCATTTTTTGATATCATATAAATTTTTTAATTTTAATACTAATATAATAAAAATTATATTATTCCTAAAATTTTAAAAATTAATTTTATAATATAATTATAATAAATATATAAAAAAATATTAAACTATGATTCAAAACATCATATTCTAACAATATTTATTTAAAAAATATATAGTAATCTATGTTAAACAATTCTTATATACAAACAATAAATATTAACAACATAATCATGGCTTTGCACAATTATTATATCATCCAAATACTCACTACAAAAAATCCATTCTAATACTACCAATCATAGTGAAATGCACACTACTAACCCCTTCCACATCACTTGCAATCTATAATATCCTCCATATAAAGGAATCATATACTCAATCTTCTACTTTTTGTCAAAAAAACCATCTAATTTGTAGAAAAATTGGCTAATGAGTTTATTATCATCTCAATTGATATCAATTATAAGTTGTCAAAATTATAAAACATATAATATGATTGATTGATTTTCTTATTATAAAATATAAATCTTATTGATTGCAATACAAATTGCATCATGTTCTCTATACATGGATCAAATTTCTACTATATTAAACTTCTAAATTATCTAATATTAGATCATGTTGTTCAAAAAAAAATAAAAACTATAATAATGCAAAAGTTGAAATCAATGTTTCAATAAATCTGACTTATGATCTTGGAGTTGGATAGCTTTGAGATTGAAGTTCAATCACTTGTTGAATTTGATTAAAAATTCTTGAAATTTTGATTTTATACCATCAAACTTGACAAGCAAGACAATTCTTGATTCTTTAATATTTGAACAATGTTCCACCATAGGAAAAATATGATTTAGTATAGATATTGAAGTAGCTCCAATCATCTCTATATCTTTCCTTCCTTTCAATCTTATTATTCTTTGCGGTAATAAATTGATTTGATTGATTGTAAGTAATAACTTTCTTGTTTGCTATTGCATTTTTACTATAATATTTTTTATTTCAATAAGCTTTGTTACAATGATACATAAAAAAAAGATGTCTAATATTATTCAAAATAAGTAAAAAAGAAGAATTGAGGAGAAAGAAAATTCTAGGAATAATATTAGTTTAGAATTGGATAAATTACAACTTCTAATATATTTGCGACTTATCAAGAAAAAAAAAAACAAACAAATAAACAAACAAACATAAGAAAATAAAATAAAAGAAATAAAAAAAAAATCCATTCTTTATTATAAAAGAATAATAATAAAAAAAAACAAAATTCTAATGTAATAAGAATATTCTTGTCAATTTATAAAAAATAAGAACTTAAAGAATGTAAATAAACAAATGAATTATTTTTCTAAAAGAAATGACAAAAAGTAAAATAAACATATATATATATATATATATATATATATATATATATATATTCATAAAAAATACTAAAATGGCTATTGCTAAAAAATAATAAAACTAATGATTCTTAAAATTAGACTAGAAATAAGAAAGAAATTGACAAGAGTGAAGATGGCTTCATTCTTGCTTCTATATATACTATGTAACTATGAAATTTGTGGCAATGTTCTATAAGACCTCCAATATGTATCCAACTTGTAGAACACATGTCAAATTTACATGACAAGCTTCCTATATGTGTGCTACATGCTGAACTTGTATTACAAGTAATCAACATATGCAACATGTGGCCAATTTGCTATCTAAGATTTAAATCTATCAATCACTTATAGATACATATAAAAAAAAAATCCATACCTATAAAGCTTCTCTACAAGATATTATTATTTTATTTATTTTTACATACTTCTATTTATTCATATTATTTAGATAATTATTGAAAAATATATGTATATTTATAACACTTATTTATTAGCTTTCTTAAGTCCTACAATTACTTCATTGTGACATTAAATTCTATTTAAATAAAAGACTTTATGTTGGAAAATTTAATAGCAAGACTAGTCCATAAAGTCACCAAAAGGATTAAAAAAAAAATCATCAAAGTGAAGATTTGGCTATATTTTTTAAATAAGGCAAAGATAGGTAATCTAAGAATATAAGAAGCAATATGAGAATTTGTTACATTTATAAAAAATCAAGTTACTTTGCATAAAATTACTAAAAGACGAAGAAATGAAATAGAAAATATATCAATAATACATGTGATAAATATAAAAGAAATAATTTTGTACTAATGGTATGAAAAGGTACTTTCATGGTTGCTACGTTTAAGTAGGTTGTTGATTCAGATCCTACCAAGCATATGACTTGAAATAATTATTTATTTGATATTTGTCAAGACATTCTAGTATCAAAAAATTTGTTGAGAGACAATTGTATGGTATAGGAGAACCTCTTTTTGCTGAGAAAACTTGATTTATATGGTTGTAAGATATAATTTAATATGAATGGATATATTATACAAACATTAAGTAGAGGTGATATTTCTATGGGCTTTAAAGATGGCAACCTCTACTTCATTAGTTGTAAGAAAGTGAATAGAATCAAAATGCCATAATTTAGAGAGATTTCACAACATCAACACAAATTTGGCATTTGGCATTGATGCCTAGGTCATTTAAATGCCAAAAGCATAAAAGAACTTGAATCTATAGTATATAACTTAGATCTTGGCAACCATGCAATAATGTCATGTGTCTTGCTTGTAAAGATTATATTTAAAGCAAATAATAAATAGCTTTATTTTTAAGTGGAGTTATAATACATGAAGACAAGTTGTTAGAGACTTTTCATTCAAATATTTGTGGAGCTATGAAGATGCCATCAATATGTGGAATAAGATACTTTATTACTTTTATTGACAATTTTTTAATAAAAGTGTGGATATTCATTTTTAAAGCCAAAAATGTGTACTTTTCAAATTCTAAGGAATTTAAGGTTCTTGGAGAGAAGCAATGTGAATACAAGATCAAAGAATTGCACATAGATAATAGAAGTCAATACTTGTCAAAATATTTTTTAAAAAAATATACAAATATTTAAAAAAAAAAAAAAAAAAAAAAAAAAAAAAAACCTTAAAAGATATAATAGATTACTTGAGGACAAATATTCTTCAAATTAAAATAATATTTTATGATAAAAAGAAGATCACTTGGTAAATGGTGAAAGAATAACATACTTTTTCAAATAAATATTCTATGACATAAAAAAGATCACTTGAAGTAATCATGGCAGACACCACACATTACTTCATGTCACGGACATATGCATGTAAGTCAGTAATTACATGTATAAATAGATAGAAATAAGTAAAAGTATATAAAAGTAACTTAATTCTATAATATTTACTATGGAAGCTTTCTAGAAGCTTCATAGACATTGCTTTGACTTTATAGGTGTCTTTAATTGATTTTTTGGATTAAAAATGTTGTCAATAAAGTAGCCATGTGCCACACATGTTGTTAACTTGAAGACCAAGCTAACTATGTGGCCCACACGTAGAAAAACTTGCCTTGTAAGTCAAGGCATGTGTCCTACAAAGTCAACACATATTGGAGGTCCTATACAACATCGCCACGTAGCCCCTAGTTAGATAGTAAATATAGATACGAGAGTGAAGTCTTCTTCACTCTTGTCAACTCTTTTCTTGTTTCCAGTCTAGTTTCAAGGGTCTCTAGTTTTCTTGGCTTTAGGAGATAGCCATTCTAGTTTCTTTCTTAATATACATATCAAGTTATTTTTATTTTGTCACCTTTCTTTGAAAGAAGTCTCACTTGTTTATTTGTTTTTATCATGTTCTTGTCCTTGACACTTCAAGTAACTAAACAACATGACAATGTTACACTTATTGTTTATCCATCAACTGTAAGTGATGCAATGAAGCCTATATATGTTGAAATAGACAAAGGTCATGGTATAATTTACTTCATAGTATAATTATAATTTGTATATAAAAGAAACATTAAATTGTAATTAAAAACATCATATTCTAATAATATTTATTTTAAAAATATATATTAATCTACGTCAGATAATTCTTACGTATAAATAAAATAAATTGAGAGCATAATTATGGCCTTGCACAATTATTATATCATCTCAAATGCTCACTACAAAAAAACCCATCCCAGTACTACCAATCCTAGTGAAATGCACACTACTCACCTCTTGTACATCACTTGCAACCTACAACATCCTCCATACAAAGGAATCATGCACTCAATCCTCTACTTCTTGTCAAACAAACCATCTCACACAAGTGAGATACACCTACTATCACAACCTTCATAGAAACTCTTAATATTTTGTGATATTACAGGAAGTTGAAACTACTCCTAATGGTGCTCCAAATGTTAAATTTGAAAAAAATAAAATCCTCAACAATGATCAAACAACATGCAAAACTTCTCATCCAAGCATTAAACATTATTGATGGCTAAGACAACCTTTAAATCATCTTCAATAAAACTAAAAATCAAAATATGTAAAAACTATAAAATCACAGATCTTAGAGTTCCTCAACATATGATCAAAACTTAATGTCTCTTCAAATCTTAATGTCCTTCCATATCTAAGATTGTCATAAACCTTAGTATTACACACTTCATGAGTATTATTCAAAACTACTATTACAATAGACATGCCTCTTTCTAATCATCTCTCTCCTTTCTTTTTACACAAAGAAAACAATCATGAATAAATCTCAAAATTGCTGAAATATCCTCTCCATTGTTGATCATACACATCAGGTTTGCACCACCAAACATAAATGCTCTTCATTCAACCACAACCACAGGCGAAAAAGAAAAGTTCATTGCATAACCAGGGCCTTGCACAAGTATCATGTCTTCTCAAACGCTCACTACAACAAATCCATCCTAGTACCGACAGTCCCAGTGAAATGCACACCAATCACCACTTCCACATCACTTGCAACCTGCTACGTCCTCCATACAAAAAGAATCATGCACTCAATCCTCGACTTCTTGCAAAACAAACCATCTCACTTGTGTGACATGAGATGTGCCTACTATCACAAAAACTCTTAATGTTTGGTGATATTATAGGAAGTTGGAACTACTCCTAATGGTGTTCCAAATGTTAAATTTGACATTGCAAAACAAACCATCTCACAAGTGACTCTCGCCCCCCACACCCCCATGCAAATCGGTGCGCCATCCCCACTCACCGCCCAGCTAACTGCACCATCCACAACGGCAGTTACCCTCCGGTTCATCACGCATGGCACACATTCTCCAACGCTCGTCCAATGTGCATTTCATCCACCACCGGACACCACACCATTCAACTCCCCCCACTCCACCACATCCCCGCCTCCATTTCCAAGCACCCCACAACACACGCATTCACATTCAAACGCATCCCAAACCTCCGCCCACTCACACAACCAAACCAACATCCACTGCATCCAATGTGCGACGCTGCATTCCATCGAAACCAAACTACGTACGTTTACTGCAACTCTCCGCGGAGCGAACAGCGGGACTTTCAAACGAGAGAAGAAGCGCGGGCCTTCTCCGACCCACCCTCGTCAGCTTCACCGACACCCTCGAGCACGCCCACTCTCCGCCCACCCCCACTGAGACCCACCCTCCTAAAAGCTATGAGACGATGCCTCCGGCCTCGCCTTGAACCTCGCTCCCTCCTCGAAACCGCCCGCCCCTGACGTCCTACTCCTCCACAAAATCAAATACACTAACACCGCCACCAAAACTGCTCCTACTCCTGCTGCTGCTCCCACCGCCCACTGCACCGGCATCCCTAGCACCTTCTGCTTCTTCGCCCGCGCCGGAGGCATCGCCACCTTCGCCCTCGCCACCCTCGCTGCCGCTTTGCTTGCGTTCGTCACCCCGCGCCTGCGCTGGCTCGAGCTCACCCTCACCTCTGCCGCCGGCTCCTCGCTCTCTCCCGCATTCCCATTCCCATTGCCGTCGCTCCCCGCGCCTGGGGCTGTGTCCGACGCGCTCCCCGACTCCAGGGGAGCCACTGCCGCCGCCTTCTTCAACGCCTTCCTCTCCCGCTCCTTCTCCTTCTTCTCCGCCTCCTTCTGCGCCCGGGCCACGGCCTTCGCCTGTGCCTTCTCCGCCAGACGCCTCTTCCGCTCCTCGGCCTCCTTCGCCTTCGCCATCTCCACCGCCCTCCTCTGCTCCTTCAGCTCCGCGGCCTCCCGCTCCAGCTCCTCCTTCGACTTCGGCTTCACTGCCTCCACCACCGCTGTGGGACTCGACCCCGCCGCCTCTCGCTCCCGCTTCGCCCCACCCTTCTCCTTCTCCTTCTGCTCCACCGCCGCACCGGCATTGAAACCCGTCTCCTCCTCGTCCTCGTCCTCCTTCTCGCCCTTCGCTGCCACCCTCTCCGCCCTCGCCGCCACCCCCTCTCGCTGCCCGCTCCCGCCTCCTCGCCCTCCGCTCTGTTGTGCCGATCCAGGCCCCGCTGCCGACAATCCGTCCCCGTGCCCGCCCACCATCGGCCGTGCCTCGTCCGGCGCCAGACCCCGCCCATCCAGCGTCCCGAACCGCCGAACCGTGCTCCACTCGTTGTCCTTCACGTAGTTCCTCCGCCACTCCTCGTCCGTGTTCCACATCCCCAGCATCCGCTCCACCTGCGCATTGCAGTACTCCTCCACCTCCTTCCTGTTGTTCGGCTTGTTCGCCAGCATCTTCGCCTCCTGGATGTCCCTCTTGTTGTCGTAAAAGTCCTTCATCCGCATATACTCCTGCTCCTTCAGCGACTTCTTGTGCACGTATGCCTCCTGCCTCTTGTCGTTCGCCGACTGCAGCTTGTCCTGCACGGCGCTCAGGGCGCTGTTCGCCTGCTCGTACTCCTTCTCCGCCTGCTCCCGCACCTTCTTCGCCGCGTTCAACTCCACGTCCAGCTTCTTGTACTCCGCGTCCAATGGCTTCAGCGCGCCCTCCAGCTCGTCCCGCTGCCCCAGAGCGTCCTGCACTTGCGCGAACAGGGACGCGTTCGCGCGCACCGCCTCACGCGATGCCTGCAGCGCCTTGATCTCCCTCATCAGCTGCTTCTCCTCCTTCAACGGGATGCTCTCGTGCTGGATCCTCCACTCCAGAGACGCCACCCTGTGGTCCAGCTCCTCCTCCGACGTTGGCATGTCCCGGCTCTTCTCTCGCACCTCCCGCCCCGCCTCCCTCAACTTCCGCAGGCTGTCCCTCAGCGGCTTCATCTCCTCCTGCTTCGCGCGCACCTGCGTCAACCAGTCCCGCTCCACCTGCCGGGCCGCCTTCAGCCTCTCGAACGCCTCGTTCCGCTTCACCCTCGCAGCCTGCACCGTGCTGTTGTGCGCGTTGCGTGCATCCGTCTTGTCCTGCAACTGCTGCTCGGCCGACGATATCTCAACCCTCCCTTGCTTGTCCGCGGGTCTGGGGACCCTCACCATGTAGAAGTTGTACACCTGCAGCGGTGCCTTCTCCGCGGGAGCGCCACCCACAACGCCAGACTCCGCACCTGCCAATGCCTCCGCCCCCGGACCGCCACCCTCCGCGCCCTCGGGAGCCTCCGCGCTCGCCCACCCGACCGCAGGCGCATTGTCCCAATCCGTCGACGCCGCCGCTACCGCCTTCTCCAAGCCCGCCACTCCGTTCTCCGCCTCCACAACAGCGCCACCTTCGCCCGCCTCTCCACCGATCTTGCCATTGCCCTTCGTCACCGCCTCCTCGGGGAGGATGGCATCCGCATCCGCCGTCGACTGCTTCTCCGCCTCAGCGCCTGCGCAGCCAAAACACCACTCAGCATCCCCGCGCACCACATTGTCACATCCACCCCCAAAATGCCCCACGAAGGCCGACCCCCAAGCACATCCGACAACCCTTACCGGCGCCCGCTGCGTCCACCTCTCTGCCCTGCTCCTCCATGACTTCCTGGGCCTTCTCCACGGCCGACTGCATCTTCTCGACCCCTACAGGCTGCGGTAGCTTGGAGATGCTTCGCACCGGTTCCCACAACTTGGGACTGGCGCAGTTGCTGCTCAACCGAGGCTACACGTCACATGCTGCTGCACACACTCAAACTAAACGTTGGTTAGCATCTGGCACTGCGCATGATAGTCGGCGAAGTACATGCTGAACAGAATTATTTTGAAGCTTGTATCACCTGTTGTGATATTGAAAATCAAGCAGGTATTTGGTTTCGCTCGCAGAAATCTGGATTCTTTTATTTCTATATATATATGTTGATGAAGTTGTTTCGGAATTCGACCCATTGGTTGTACGGAAGAATTGCTGGATTGCCGAGCAGAGAGTGCCTTTCTCTATTACGTTTGTCGGAGCAGCGTGTCTATCATCTAGTGGATCTCTGCATCGTAATCTTGCCAGGAGATCTAGGGAAGCTTTACAGATTGGGAGTGAGTTGAGATTGGATGGAGGGAGAAGCATATGTATGGAACTATCACGGCTGACGTGGCAGTTTTTGCATCGAAGGATCTTACGAGGAATGAAGGATCGTGTTGATCACGATCTAGGTTGACCAGTCTAGTGGAACATTTATAAATCTTGTGATTCCACATTTTTGATGTATTAAGTTCCTTCTCTTGAAAGACTATGTATCTATCCCTCTTGTAAAGGTCGTTCAAAAACTTCCTTTGCAGCACAACTCTATCGCGAATGAAACTAAGGATACCGATGGGCAATCAACCCATCGTTTCAAACATGGATCGACACCAATGATTGCGCCACGCGGATAATATGAAGTTCCAAAACCCACGTACTATGACTGACGTCAACTATGCTACCGCAAAACAGTTTGAAAATCTCAAATTATCCTCCACTTCTACACTCTTCCGCAAACCTCACGCGAATGAAAGCCCTTAGCACTAGAAAAAACATAAAGGATACAGCACCTCAGAACGAAAGAAACCAACCACGTGAGAAAACTAAGAAAAACCGCCAGGCGCACTTACCGAACCATCACCGGAGTTGAGAAAAAACTCTACACCGGAACAAAAACCAAATCGAGTTGCGGAGCTCCCGTTTTAAGGTGCCACAGCTTCGGAACCTCCAACTAGGCCTGATCGCGGCACTGGCCAAGACTCCGGATCTGGAGCTGCTCAAGAGGTTGACTGCAGACCCCTCAGACTGAAGCACAGCCCGAGAAGCAACGGGCAGCAAACGGAAAGACCGAAGCGGAGTCCATTTCTTCGCTAGGTTAGCACGAGATGCCCTGTGCGGTGATTCCAAGATGACCTTTCTGCTCCGGAACACGTTTTTCTCACTTACGTCCCTCCGATCCCGACCAGAATTGTCGCTCGGGATTACCCGGAGTTGATCGACACTCAGATCAGTTTCTACTAATATGCGAATCTCGTGGCCGCCACTCATCGCATTGGTGGGGTTTGAACGTCTGGAGGGCTTGTATTGGTCCGCTTCGGGACACTGGCGTCATCGGTGGGCCTGGGCCACTGTCCAACCCGGTAAGTGCTGCCTGGAACCCTTCAAAGCTACGGTTGGGAACGGCATCAAATAGCCGGATCCCAGTGGGCGTTGTGGTGAACTCCCAAGGTTGTGAAGCACCTACTGAATCTTTATTAGAATTGAAACTTTATTAGAATTTAAACAAGGACTAGATGAATTCGTGTCATTGTCATAGAAAGTGTGACTCAAATGAAGAATTTTTTGATCCAAAGAATGTTTTTCAAATATAATACAATACAAATAGAAAGAAATAAAATGTACAATTGAGCTTTCAGCTTCAAAGTAGGATAGGTAAAGTTGTGTTGTTGTCATAGATAATATGCAAAAAAATTAGTTAATTTTGTTCTAGGAACTACTTATGAAAATAAAAATAAAAATTATATTACATCAAAAAATCATTAAATTATGTTAAGACATTTAAAGATGTATTAAAGTCAAGAAATAAATAAATTAAAATATAAATTATTAAATATAAATTATTAATATTTATCTAGATAAAAAATTTTAAAAAATACTATTTAGCATGGAATTTTAATTATTTTTTTAGAGAAAAGTATCTTAATAGAATAAGAAGAAGCCCATCTAGAGAGTGCTTCATAAAATTGATGATAGAAAAAAAATAGGTTATCATAGATCCAAACCATCATACTTCACTAATTATTCTTAGAATTTATTTATTATTATTGCAAATGCAAGATGGATTGGAAATTTCTTTCTCTTTAGAATGAATGGAAGTTCTTTTGTTGTAGAATTTAATGTTATCCGCAGAATGAATACCAAGTTTTCAACAAATTTTCTTCCAAGAACTCTTGCTTCAAGAACTCAATCCATTCATCATGTAATTACCAATCAATTTCTATTGCAAAGTCTTTGGCAATGAGCAATATTTCTAAATAGCATTACCAAAGTCTCAATTTTAAGACAAAGCCTTGATCTAGCCATTCTAGATAGATTAAGCAACTTGATGAATTTGACTAAATAAATATTATTGTTATCAATACCATCTTGGACAACAATTTTATTGGTGCTTATATATTCTTTGTCTTCTTTGAAAAATATGGCTATAATCTTCTCATTAATATCCTCTACATCATCATTCTGTGTCGATAAAATGATTATATTTCTTAAAAAGGCATCATTTGCTATACGATCTTTTGCCAACCTTGGATAAATAACATCAACTAAGGACATTAATTGTTGATCAACAATCATGTGATCAAGAAGCATAACTGCATTATTGGATAATAAATTTGTATTGTTTTCAATCTAGCAAGTGGTAAATAGAAATATTAGTCAATAAAAATGTAACCATAAAGAATTCAAATGCATGACTATTAATATATACAATGTGTATATGCATTCTATACTTGAGGAAGATAATTAACAAATTCAATATTTTTTTGAAGTGCTTTTGAATTCAACATCATATTTTTTTTAATATATAGATTTTTATTTGAGGCTAAAGTATTGAATGTCAAAAAAATGCTGTTATAATTTTTTCTTGAGTTCTTTTTATAATTACTAGCAATATTTATCAAAAATCTCCACCAAAAATTATTGCAGCTTTTTTAAATAGGTGATCAATATCTTCAATGTCTTTAAAAGAATAATCAATTGCCTCATGACAATAACAATGTTGCATTAAAAGTTCACTCTAAATAGTAAGAAAGTTTGGTAAATAAACTCAACATGGTCAAATTTCTTAGTAATTAAACAAAAAGAGTCTTTGTGACAATCTAGGGGAATCTTGAATGTAGAATGGATGGTTCTTCCTCTTTCAAGTAGCAATGTGGCCATTCTAGATGATACAACAAATATGACAATCTTTTACATCAATCAAACTTTAGTTGCCAAAGCATTGTGGACAAATATCTTGCTAGTTTTGTAGGTCCGTTTAAAAAAAACATACATCCATATTCTTCTATTATGGAGGCTATAATATTATTATATGCCTTTTTTTATTGAAGATTTAATTGTGGAACATATTGCTCCAAATTTTCTTTTAATTATTAAATATCTCATATTCTTTCTTCAATAATAAATTTAATTCTATTAAATATTTTATTCCAAGTGTTTCTAGGTAATGGCATTAAAGGAAACTATGAAAGTATTTTGTTGAAGTCTTATAAAATCGTATCTAGTAAAGAAAGTCAAAAATCCTTAACATGTTTCTCTTTTGAATTGTTAATTCAATATTTTCTTTCCAAATGGGCATTGAGATCATCCAAGATGTTTTTCTAAAATCTTTTCTATAAATTTAATAGATTTAATAAATTTTTGTACAATAGCAAAATAGCAAACAATACCCTCAATTGAAATCTAGTTTATATTTTTGATGCCTTTTCCAAACATGTATATTAAGAAAGAAACTGAAATGGCTATTGCCAAAAGACAAGCAAATTAGAAACCCTTAAAATTGGACTAGAAATAAGAAAGAAGTTGACAAGAGTGAAGAAGGCTTCACTCTTGTCTCTATATATACTATCTAACTAGAGGCTACATGGCAATGTTCTATAGGACCTCCAATATGTGTTGACTTTGTAGGATACATGCCTTGACTTACAAGGCAAGTTTTTCTACGTGTGGGCCACATTGGGCTCTAATGGGCTTGGTGTCGATTCAAAATACGTATTGACATAAAATATTCAAGGTTCTTGTGATTCATATATATTGTGACAGGACTAGAAGCACCTTTTAGATAATGGCGCCATTCTAGAAATGAATCCACGATTATAAGAAGTTCTTTGTTGTCGATCTCGTAATTGATCTCGGCTGCTGAAATTTTTTTAGAATGAAAAGCTATTGGATGAAGTTTATCATCTGTTCCCTTTTGTGATAATACGACACTCAAAGCAAAATCTGATGCATTTGTTTCTAAAAAAAATGGCTTAGAAAAATTGATGCGATACAAGATTGGTGCAAAAACAAATGCTGTCTTCAAAGCTTCAAATGCTACTTCTGCTTCTTGATTCCATTGAAATTTGTCTTTGCAAGTCAAATGTGTAAGTGGAGCTGCAACTTGAAAGAAGTCTTTGATGAAGATCCGATAGTAGTTGGTAAATCTCAAAAAATATTGGACATCTCTTACCGTTTTTGGGATCTTCTAATCCACAATAGTTTGAATTTTCTTAGGATCCATCATAAGTCCATTATTTGAAATGATGTATCCTACGAAGTCGACTTGAGTAGTGTGAAATACATACTTTTTTTATCTTGGCATAGAGTCCTGCATCTCGTAGTTTTTGTAATACTTGGCGAATGTGAAGTTCATATTCTTTTAGGTTCTTAGAATAGATTAAGATGTTGTCTAAGTAACAAACAATAAAATCATCTAAAAACTCCTGAAAGACATCATTCATTAGATGTTGGAATGCTGTTGATGTATTTGTAAGTCCAAAAGGCATGACGTTGTATTCAAAAGGTCTATACCTTGTTCGAAACGCAGTCTTCTATTCATCTCCTTCTTTGATGCGTACCAAATTGTATGCTCCTCGTAGATCTATTTTTCTATAGATCTTAGCTTGATTCAAGTGATGAAGAAGTCCAAATATCAAAGGTAGTGGATAGCTTTTTTTTATAGTGATTTTGTTTAGTCCTCGATAATCAACTTACATCTGCAATCATCCATCTTTTTCCTTCACAAATAAAATTCGAGCTCGTGCTGGAGATTTGGAATGGCGTATGAAGTTCTTGGCCAAATTTTCTTCAATATATTCCTTGAGTTCAGCCAACTCATTTTGAGATAAATTATAAATTGGTCCAAATGGCGATTGTGCTCCTTCTTGAAGGACAATTAAGTAGTCATAAGAACGATGTTCTGAAAGACTATTCGCATTCTTCTTCTCAAATACATCTTGAAAATCTTGATATTGGCTTGGAATGCCAGTTGAAGTCTTTCCTCCAGTAGAAATAAGTGTGGCATAAATGACACAAGGTGATCCTTCTTTTGCAGCATGCAAGAAAGCACTTGTACCTACAAATATAGGTTTAATTATACTAGGCTTATGAATTTCTACTTGATTAACCTCACTTTTAGTTATACTTTGAAAAAAATCAAGACTATGAGAAGTCTAATCTATTTTAGGATTATATTTTTTTAGCCATGATAAACCTAAAATAACTAGATTAAAGAGAGATCTAATGATATTAAATATTACAAAGCTACTATAACTATTAGTTGTTATTTCTATAGGAAGGGTTTCATGAATAACATCTCCTGAAGACAACGGACGACCATCTATGACTTCCACATGAACAGGTTTAGTTTTTTTTACTAAAAATATGCTATATCTTTTAGTAAAATTTTCATCTAAGAAACAAGCTGAGGCTCCTGAATCTAGCAAGGCAGAGGCTTTGAGATGATTGGGTCCTTGAATAACATTTATCGTAAAACATGGAGAGGGTTTTGAGGAGAGAATAGGACCTTTACTAGGTATTGTACAAGGTTCCAGCCGCACAACCCCTATTGTAGCTGAAATTTTTT